GTTTTATCAGGTTTTCTGAACTGAACAAATCACTCCTGAATGTTTTTGGAAATCCTCATTTTTCTGCCTGACTATAGGGAGTTTTCACATTTCAAGATGTAGGGGGGAACTGACACTACTTTCAACAGCAAAAATCAATGTTTGTTAAAAGGTGCAATTTTGTTTGCTTGTAAAACTTCTTCGTTTCTCTATAGAAGACATTACCATTATTTAGGTATCTAGATCATAAATAAAATACAGGTAAATATAAAAAAGATTACTTTATTTGCAACTACTTCTGCCAGGAGCTAACAGCCAGGGCAGCTTTTTCCATAGATGCTGTTGCCATTCAAGCCCTGGTTGTTCCTGTACTTGGTGCCATGGGAAGAAGTAGTGGTAGACAATTTAAAGAGATCTGCCAATTTAATAAACCATTGCGAGAAGATACTGGAATGCAATAATTCTTCACCCAAATCCCCAAGCTACTGATTTTCTTTCTTGATAGACCTATCTTAGTAATTGTTGCTTTGTTCCTGCCCTCAGAGGAATGACCCTAACCAAGGGACAGCTGTAGACACTCCATCCAAGCAAAGGATGCTGCAAGAGACAAAGCCCATTGCCTCAGCTGCCCAAAGTCTTGGCCTTCATGCTTTGCAGCAAGGAATCCACATCCCTCACAAACTGCAGAGAGAAGAGGACCAGGACAAGGAGGTGAAATAATGAAAAAGCTTCGTCCCAAAGGGAGGCACAAAAAGAAAAATCTTTCATTCTTCCTTGGGGACTGTCTAAAGCACTTTGATCCAATCACGGCTTTAATGAGAAGGATGCCTCAGCTGCCCTAAGCACACACCACCACTGGTCCTGGTGGACTAAGATACCCAGGGACCCAGACCACAAAAGAGAGAAGTAACCTCAGCAAACAGAAATTGAGGGGGACATTCAGTTTTGCTGCTTCTTTTATCTCTTCGTAACAGCCTAATTGGAGTGTAATGAATTTAGGGTTGGTGCTCACTGCCAGACTCACTTCTTTGATGTGTTTTTGGCCTCTGTGCTACAAAAATGCAATGGGAACCAAAACCAAGATATTACACCTCCATAAAGTGTCTCTGGGTTTACCATGAGATTCCAATGCCTGTGCCAAGTGACCAAAGCCACTAACAGGCCGCTGCTCGCCAAGATGTTTGGGTAATGAATAAGAAGCAGAGAGAGATGCCACTGTGAATCAGAGTGAGGAATGCACGCTAAAGGCAACAGAGGTGGATCCCGGGCTGTAATGTGGAACAGAGGAGTGCTGTGGTCATGCTCCTCTGCAGCTGCAGCTTTCAGGAGCAGCTGGTGGTGCCTGAAGGCATTGTGGCAGGCGAGGAGGATTTTAGGAAGTAGGTAGAGTACTGCTGTACAGGGACATAATGACACAGCACCATGAGCTGCTCATGCTCCAGCAACCAGGTCACTCTCAGGCCAAGGGTCTTTCCCCACCCCATTGTAACCATTCCTGCCTTAGCTCCTGCAGACACATCTCTTTGCCACATGAGCCTACCCTGCTTTGCTTGGCTCTCAGCAGGGCATCCCCATGGGCAAAGAGTAGCCACTACATGACATGTGAGTGTCCAACACACACAGTACATGCTCAAGAGGCCATTACCCCCCACTGCCCACCACATATCCTGTCAGGGTCACCATCCCACCAGTGGGGACAGAAGAGTCAGCAGGCTGTGCATGCAAGCAGCAGGCAAAACTTGGAAAGGCTTCCCTGGTGGATAGCCAACCCTGCAGAGGAGATTGGGATCCCCAGCACCTCACTTAGATCCTCCAGGTGAGTGATAACCTGCCCTTGAGCATACATGAACAACCTGGTGATGCCTATCAATTAAAATGTCCAAGGGCCCCACATAAAACTTCCTCTTAGAGACAAATAGATAAATTATGGGAGTTTGGTTCTGAAGAGGCTTCATTAAGTACGGATGTTTTCTGTTTCTGTTCAAACACCGAACTATGCAAGCCCACGTTAGATGAACCAATGCATCTATTCCAAAAATCACAGCCCAAAGGAAAATCCAACTGCTTATCTGTTTCCCTGTCTGCAATGATCTTGCTCACAATAAAAAATGATGTGCCTCCTTGGAAAAATCGTGGCAAATGACAGTTCATGTACTTGCAGAATATTCAGGGCTAAATTCCCACCCTATTTAAATCAATACAGCTATATCCATTTTAGGGAAGCTATCCCCCAATTGACAGATCCTGGGAACCTGGCCCTGAATCTCTGACTCAAACAGCCTTTACCCTGTGACTGCATGTTTAAGACATGGGCTGCTGATAAGATATGCTTCTAGTTAAATGCAGCCCTCCTTCAGCTATGATTCACATTCAAGAGCAGTTAAGTGGTCCAGCTGTTCTGGACACAAGCCTTGCCTCTGCAAGAAAAGCACTTTCTGGAGGAGGTATCTCACACGGCTTTGCTGGTAAGCAGGTTATATACTGAAATCCCAGAACTGTGCTCCAAAGCCTAACACTAGACGCAAGGACAAACCCTCTTCCTGACTTGCAGTGGCCACTCTCACCATAGCTCCATCAGATGTGAGTGGAGAACTACTTTGCAACTTGCTCATTACTCAGGGGAGAAAGTAGGGAGTCTATCCCTGAGCCTCTCTGTGTTCTGGAAGACTTAGGCATTCACACCAGCTACATGTGGATAGCATTTAATGGCCCAGTAGTAAATTATAGTCCTGTGGGACCAGCAAGGCAGCCCCTGAGACCAAGAGGTGTACAGCTCCTGTGATCCTCATGTTCTCAGTGGAATACATCTGTCAAAGCAAAATGGAAATGGGACACTACCTGAACATTAACCCTGTGGTTTCCCCGAGTTCCACAGGGATCTCAGTGCTCCATTTGCTGCTACTGGGGACCTCATTGCTTGGCCATTGCCATGAGCACATCTGACCATACACATGCAAGCAGACATCCTCAGCTGAAGGGTTGGAACAGCTCCTTCTACTGAACATCTGGACTTACACATATAAACTACTCAACACTCTCTTCCAGAATTACAGAGTCTTTCATATCTTATCTCTCAAAAGCCACTTATCAGCCCACGGCTTTCAGACTTCAGTCTCTCCTGTCTGCCAGAGTGGAACCCAGCCATGTAAAAAACATGAATAACAGCAGCCCCTCTCTCCTCTCCCACGCTGATGGCTGCAGCTCCTCTGATGGGGGCTTGAACTTTGGGGGCAGCAGAAACAACTCCATCTACCCTTCTGCTGTGGACTGGCAGAAGTTTAGCAGAATTAAACCATGGGACAATAGATCACTGGAACATGAATGCCTCCTCCCATCCCAGGCTGAGGAAGGTGGCAAGCTAAATGTACATATTTGTTCTCTTAATTATGATGGCAGACAATAAGGAAACATTTATAAGTTCCCATTGCTGCTGAATGGGCTTTGGGCATGCCCTAGAACCTCCACATCAAACATGTACAACAAAAGACAGGTTTGTGCCCATAAATTAATATTAATAATTGGAAATAGTCTGGACTTCTTGTCAAATAAAGGCTTCTTTCTAACTAAATAACCCTTTTTTTAATGCTAACAAAATGGTCAGAGAAAGTTTCATTTATGACATTTCAAAAGTGATGTTCAGAAGGGGAAAGAAACTCTTAATTATTGTCCTCTTCTGGTTTTTCTCTCCCTTTTCCTTTTAAAGAAAAGAAAGGTGCTACGGAGGAAGTGCAGGAAGGGCTTTTGAGCTTGTGAGCCATGAAAACACTTTGAGTTTCAGATTCATTGGGCATTAAAATTTCCACACACCCCCCTTCCAAACTTTTCAAATCCTTCCATAAAAATTCTGAAATGATATGGAAATTTCTTCCTCTGAGCCATAAGAGATGACATCATTAGATTTCAGCATGGTGCTAAAAACGTGAGTGTGTGCTGCAGCACCAGATACCAGTCTAGACATTGCAGCAACCAGAACCACAGCAGACCAAGGGGCTTTCAGCAAGCTGCTGGGACTGGTGCTTCATCAGGCAGGATGGAGATGGGGCTGGCAGGAGAAAGGCAGTGATGTTACAGCAGAGGAAAGCTTAACATAAACCAGGATCATCACTAGCTCTGGACTAGCTTAGCTAACATATTTCTCAATTGTATGGACCGCACATGGGTCGTACATGTTTTTGTTCAGTCCGAGAGAGGTCTGTCGCAAGAACAACTGTCTCTGCTTTTGTTATGAAACTGAAGTTCAGGCACAAATCTCGCCTGATGGGTCTCATTCCAGCAGCCAATGATACAATCCAGAGAATAAACATGATCATCAGGTACCAATTGGGAAATGGTGGGAACAAGATTGGTAGTAGCAGTGGCAGGAAGAGAGGGTACAGGTGCCTTCCCTTCTCTTCCCCAAGTGTCCCCCCGACCCACGTGCACTTTGGCCCCCATCAGCCAGTCCTCTCTGGCAAAAAACATGCTTTCAGATGCTGCTGCCAAACCTCAGAAATGTATATTGCTGTTCTGGCTATGTTCAGGAGGAAGGGGAAGGGAAAACAGTGTGCAATTTTCAACAGTTTCTCCTTGGAGAGGGGCCCCCTAATTTTCTGAAAGGGGCCATCGAGGAGGGAGGAGAAAAAGCAAGAAGCTCTGTCCCATTTTAATCCCTTTTCCCAAATTAGTTATACATGGGGAATTCATGATGGAGTTCCCTCTTTGGGCTCTGAGCCTCAAAACATTTCATAACATGCAGAGCCCTTCTAAAACCTTTTGATCACATCCCTTCTAAGACTGCTGTGTTTATGTGCAGAACTGTGCGCATGGGCAGATGCTGAAGGGAAAGACAGGGAGCAAAAGTATCCTGCGCTTGTGGCACTGCAGGTAGGGTTTGCAGGACAACCCCAGCAAGGGGAAAAACCCAACAAGGAACCACAATACACAGAACAAAACAACTGTGGGACAAAGACCACTGGTGCTGCTGTGAGAGCTCAGCAAAAACACCCACAAATCTCTTCCATGCCGCTGTCAGGACAACCTACCTGAAAATTTGAAGCTTGCTCTTTACTGTGTTGAAACCTGGTACAGGGACTGCTGAGTGCTCTTTATTCAATGGGAAATTACCCAGTCTGCACAGAAACAACACAAAATAAAGATATTCACTCAAACTTATGCCTTGACCAAACAGGTTTGACATCAAGCAAGGACCATTTAAGTGCCAAATGCCTGGAGATGATTTCCACAAGCCCATGAGAGGCTGGAAGCCTTGGGATTACAGCACATCTCCATGCCCTATGTGTTTTGATTACAGTAGCGTCAAAACGTTAACAACAGAATAAGCTGCTACTGCACTTAAGTCATTTAGGATCCTGCTATCCAGTCACAGTTTCACAGTTTTTCAGCTGACCAAGGAGGGAAGAAAACTGTCCTCAGATTAACCAGCAGGAGGTCTGCAAGCCAAGATCCTCAAAGGCATTAGATCCTCTTAGAAATCAGTGGTGCTTGGGCATTTTAGTAAATATATTCAAGGACCTGGACTGAAATACCAATGCCCAGCCCCCTAAAAATTACATTACGCGTCTGAAAAAGTTTACAAAGGTGACTGTGAGACTGATGCATTTCTGGAAGTTTAAGAACAAGTACTGGTATTTTGCTAAATTTTACTCAATACTTCTTATTAAAAGAGAGCTCAACTGGTTTAATTAAAATTCATGGCAAATAGATTTCCTTTTGCCAGTGCCAGTGCTTTGCATGGACACATTCAAAGGCATTCACTTCCATTTGGTTAAACTTCATAACTGACTCTTCTAAATGTTTCCACATGGTGGCTTGAATTATTTTTTTCTTTTTCCTTTTTCTTTTTAACTAAATCAATTTTAAACCAATTTTCATTACATTGGTGGTTTTGCATGTCCACAAGGCCTGTGGGCCTCTTGGATTTTAAAACTTGGCGTGAAATTCAGCCGAAAATGCCAAGTGCTGAAACCCAGTGAAAATGAAACCATTACAGTCTATAGGGGAAGCTGCCTGCCATTCAGCCCTGCCCATGCTGCTGGCTGGACTGAGAGCACCTTCCCTGGGGCACCAGTCCTACACCAAACTGCGTGCTAGGAATGGCTAAAACTCACCTCTGGACACTGCCACTGCTCCATCCTAAGCAAGCTTGGGATTTGGCAGCAGTGAGCTCGAATCCTGGCTGGTGGAAATCACTTGAAGCACATCCTGTGAGAAGACCAAAATCCTGATCAGGAGCCTCTTTAAAACTGTGGCTTCAAAGTTGACTGGAAACCTGGCCCTGGGCTTCCCTGCAATTCAGCTTGGGTTTGCAAACTTGGCTGGTATTAGGTTTATTGCACCTAGTTTGGGGCTTTATTGTGAATATTTTGCGGAGATTCGGCTCTCAAAATTAAATGGGCTCTGTTGTTCAGAGCCTGGATCAGTGTCCCTAACATCCATAAACTCCATACCAATCTGTTTATCTTCATGTAAAAGTAATTGAGGGTCTGATGCTTTATTTTCAAGGTAGAGGTCATTGCTGTGTATTATCAAGTCAGTAAAATTGGGTGGGTGGGGGATGGATGGATAGATGGATGGGGATTACTGACTTCTGCATATTGGAGGACCTTGACTTATAAAGCAACTTTTTAAACAGGTGAGAAGCCAGGTTTATTATGGTCCCATTTTCCACCACTGAGTCTAGTAAGCAAACCAAAAAGCAAAAAGATGTCTTGGAGAAGTACCCAGCAACTCAGATGCTTCAAGGCAGAGACAGCAGCCTTAGAAGAAACAGCAGCAGAGATGAAGGTTTTCTGCCTTGCAGAAGGTTTGGGCCAATAAAGAAATCCTAATACTGCTGGCTTCCAACACTACTGCTTTTAATACCTCTAGAACTAGAAAAGAATGGGTTTATTTACTGTCCAACTCCTTTTCCCCCCACAAAAACCCTCAAAACTGGTGACCATTCAAAGCAGAACAAAGATGGTGCTTGGCTAAGGTTCAGCATGTCTCCTATTACTGAGGAGAATGTGGTCATGTTGCTAAGATAGTAGCCTAGGAGTCAGGCCACTCTTCATGGCCATCTCACCACCCCACCGTGTAACCTTGGAAAGTCACGTTTTCCCTCCATGGTTCCACATTCCTTGCCATCCTGTGCCTCTTGGCTATTCAGGCTGCCAGCTTTATGGTCCAAGTCTGTCTCCTACTGTTCTAGCTACCACCATAATTATGAGAATTTGATATATGCTGCATTCCAGCACCCCTTCCCACAGACCTCTGTTAAGACACCATGCCAGCTTCTACCATCCCTTCCTGGGACATACACACACTGTGAAGAACAATCTGCCCATATCACCCACCAGAAGCACCCCAAAGGGACTACAACCCAGGGACAACTGTTTACCAGTGACAATGCAAAGGTATGTTCTTGAGGCACAAGAAATATGAGGGGTTTGCCCTGAGGTGCACCTCTGACCCAGCACGCATTTTTCATGACTGCTTGAGTAAGGCAAGGGTTTATCCCTGACCTTAGAGGGCCATTGAGCTTCCTGGCAATGCCTTGACTTTGCAGCCTGGCATGCATGCACCTTTTTGCAAGCAGTACTGCACAGGGTCATGCATGCAGTCACAGGGTCCTTTCTGACCAGCATAGACCAAAACACAAGAGAATGTCTGGGTGTGACACTAGCACCCTTTTTCTTTACAGGGGTTAAAGCTCTGTAAAGGGGCTGTGCCAGAGGCAGGACTTTTACAAAGTATGAGACCACCCTCTTCCCTGTTTTGCTCTAAGGATCCTTAACTCCAGGAGCCATCACACCACTAAGAGCACAGGTCCTGCTTCAGCTCCAAAATCTCATTGAAGGCTGATCCTAAAATGCCTTCAGGCAGCAGCTTCCGCAGTAGCTGCTAAATTATCTCTGGGTAAGGCTTCCCGTGCTGGGCACTGGGCATACACACATGGAAGGACAGTCCCTGCATGAAGACTTCTCAGCCTCAACAGGGAGTGACACAAAGGGGAGGAGATTAAATGGCACTAGTGAAAGAAATCACCGTGTAGAGAACTGGTAAAGGTGGGATTAAAACTCAGAAAGCACCAATTAGCTGCCCTGCACTGCAGGGCACTTGGTGCCTTCCCTCCATGCATGGCATTTCCATGTGTGTACATGGATACACACACATACATATGTGTGTTTATGTTTATTTATATATGTGTAAAGATGGATGTGGACACAGACTACGTTGACAAAGTCTGAATGTACACACATGTGCACGTCACATCTGCAAGAGGCACGTTGTGATTTGCCCTGTGCTCATAGCCCCTCATGGAGTGTCCCTCCTGACCTGACCCAGCAGGAACCGTGCCCCATTGTGACTTCGCCAGGCTCAGCCAGCACAAGAAGCTGGGATTTCCAAAGGTGCAGGCAGGACAGGTAGATGATTGCACTGAGATACTGTCTCAGCTCCTTCTCAGAGTTTGGTGATGTTTTATCAACAAATAACATGTCTTTACTACTGCCAGCCCCGCTGAACCACTGAAGCTGCAGACAAGCAAGCTGTGTTTGCTTCTCTTTAATTTGTCATCAACACAATGGCCAGCCAAGTTCTCATTCCAGCATCTTACTTGTTGGTAACAACAAAAACAGGCAAAAAGGGAAAAGCTGATTTTTGGCAGGCTGTGGGCATTCAGAAATGTATTGGATAGGTAAAGTGAAAAAGGCACAGTATGAAAATCACTGGGGAAATAGAAACATTAGGAAGCAAGAGTTTAAAACCAAAAAAGTAGGCTGGTTGGGTTTTTAGATTCCCCTATTTCTGCTTTTTGGGATGGTGTTGTGTATTAATCCTCTCCCTTCACCAACACAGCGGGCCCTCAAGTTAAGTGACAACTGAACTTGTAAGAAGGAGACCAATAAACCTTCTGCAAGGGTTTCACTTCCTAAGAGCTGCACTCAGGGGCCATTCCAGGTCTGGATCACAGTCCTGCTGTATACAGGATGCAGAGCTCAGGGCAGGGAAAATGCAGGGAAGAACAGTGACAGACACCACTGAGGGAATATCTCTGGAGTATGTTAGTAGGTTGCTGAAAGGGAGGAACAGTTTTGAAACATGAGCACAGAGATAAAAATCTATTCCAAGGTGAGGATGAGCTAAATACATCAAAGGCCTTTCAGCACAATCTGGGCATATGTGAACCATCTAAATAGTAAACAGCGCATTTACTACTAATAGCCTTCTAATTTATTTATGGAGCCCCATCACACTGCAAATCTCTGTCATCTCCTTCACACACCAATCACCTGGCACCATAGGAGCTCTGCTCTGCCCAGCTTTGCTACCTGTTTTTAGAGATGAGCGCTAAACAACGTAGCCCTGCAAAACATGGTGAGGCCCACGCTTCAAGATGGTTGACTGAAAATACTCATTTTCCAACTTGGGGATGTTTCACAAGCTGTCTTAGTGCCTTGGAGCACCTCAAGCAGCGGAAGAAAGAGGAAATACAAGCACAGAAGCCAACACAATCAGTCCCAGGGTTGGGGAATCCCTCCTCACATGTATATATGTGCATATGGATATATATCCACATTTGTCACTGCTATGGCAACTAAGACAACAAAGATATCCTTTTAAAGGCCCTGCAGTAAGGAGGAAAAATATTTTGCTATATATATCACTGCCTATTGACGTCAAAAAATAACTTAAAATAAACTAACCTGTAAGTTTGGATCACGCTGGTCCTTTTTCCTCCTCTGTGGATATTGGAATAACGTTCACGTCACAATGACCATCTGTTACCTTTCATGGAAAAAGTAACCAAAGAGAGCTGAGCTAGAAAGTTTTCTATCAAACCCTCTCACACACCCTCACTGAAGCAACATAAAAAGCTCCCTCTTCTAAAACCTATGGAGCACTGTAATCTCAAGGGTCTCATTTAGTCCTTCCACAGGCAAAACCCATACTGACATCAGAGGGAAATTGCCAATTTTGGTAATTAGTAAAAACTAAGAACCTGTGGTAAGCTGTGATAATTAATTCAGCTGAGCAGCTAAAGAGTTCACTGGGAAAAAAAAAGCAAGCTGGCAGAAGGAAGTCTGGGCTGAATTGTAAAAATGAAACATTTAATTTAAAAGTGATTTTAGGAAGTTTGTTTCCATAGCCAAGATCTTGCAGATCAGGGCATCCTACCTCTTGTGCACGTATCTGTAGCATCATGCACAGCAGGACTGACATGACTTTGTGCTCTTTCCACTAATGCTACCAGTGCAATTATTTTATTGGCAGCACTAATTTGCTGCTATACATCCAATAAATACAGGTAAATGGATTTATGAGGCAGAGAGGAAGGTAGGGAATTTAGGACCTTAGCTTGCACTAGGCTGTACCAATACAACCCTACTAAAGTCAAAGACAAGGTAATGAAGCACAAGCAATGCAGTGGGAAGCCCTGCAGGCTGGATGTTGGTAATGGTTCACATATGCAAGGCATGGGGCCATCTTTGGCATGGGACTGCCCTACAGCTCCTTGCCCTTGCCCAGCAAATGCAGCACCTCCCCTCCCTTGGCTAGCAGGAGGAGATGAGAAATATACCTCAACTGTTTCTATCACAAATCATCTATTTCACTCACCTCAGAAAGATGGTGGGGAACCCTCTCAAGTCCCTTTTGGCTCAAAGTGTGTTTTAATCTGGTTTGATGGAGGCTGAACTGCCTGCATGTCCTACCAGAGCCCCTCAGAGTGGGTTGAGATGTTGTCAGAGGATGAGATATGCCATGATACTCTCAAAAGCACCAGGGATATTTCAAAGCAACAGAATTTATTAGAGATTTTTTTGAAGGCAGATCTCTTACTCAGAATGGTGAGTTTGAACAGATATAGCAAATGCAATGAGTCACTGGAGCATTGTGGGCCGTTATATACTATTAAGTCATCTGCAAGCCCATGGTGAGCCCATTTGCAATGTGGTATTACACGGCCACTTGATGTGTTGTGGATTTGGGTCTGTTCCTCTTCTCCTCAGGGTTTGTTTTTCTTCCCTTTTCTTTCTTTTTTTTTTTTCTTNTTTTTTTTTTTTCTTTTTTTTTTTTTTAAGTCAAGCTGCAGACTACAAATAACAAGAGCTAACACAATTCCAGCAGGTTTGAATCAGACTTATGAAGGAAAATCGGCAATCACATAGGCTTTTAGAGGTTCAGAAATTTGCCTTCTATCAAATTCTCCTAGGTCACCT